AAAATAACAGAAACTAAAACCTTAAGAAGAAAAGGACTTCGGTTCATATTACAGTAAAAGAATCAATAATGATTCTCAACAATAACAATAAACATCATATATTTCATTTTGTACTAAAAGGATTAACTTAACTAGTTTTCTGAGTATAATCCTCTTTCATAATATCCTATGAAGTCTCTCATCACCTAGTTATCATTCTCTATGTGAGTTGAATATTAGTAGAGTTGGGATAATTTCACATTACAAGAGTCCCTTCAATACACTTGGATTCATCCTACATTAACATTTCTCTTTGAAAATAACCTTTTTGCAAATATAAAACTAAAATCTTCACACATACATAGGTATTTTCAAAAATATGGTAATACAATCATAACCATAACATGTAGTACACAAGGAAAATCATTTAGCAAGATATAAACCACTTTAAGTTTATGGAACGTTATACTAGATCAGTTTTATGCAATTTCAAGATTTCTCTTCACTTTAAGGTTTCTAATTCTTATCCACACTTGATCACTAGTATAAACGAATACTACATTAATACCATATTTTTATATATAGTATTATATATAAAAATGCACACATTATACCACTTTCAATACTACATTTTCTAATAAGTTTTCCTTATAGAGGACTATCTTTAGATCTTATATAGGAAAAACTGCTATTACAATTCAAAAGACATATGATAAATTCAAGAAACAAACACTTAAAAGAACAAATCTCCTTAAGGCTCGTGAAGCTTCACAAAGCTTAGAACTTAAATGAAATAAAGATCATGATGGCTTGTAGCACCCTTATAAAATAGTATAGGCAATTAAAAGTTTTATAATTTTATTTTAATTTTGTAAGTTCATTGGGCGAAAAGTTCGTTTCTATTTTTTAATTTTTCAAGTTATTTTTGTGCTTAATGTCTTTGAGATATTTTTAGAGTTTTTTAGGTTGCTTAAACATTTGTGCTTATATAAAGAGACACTAAATGTATATGTAGACACCTCGATTGGTCAATATATAAATTTTGATTAAGTAAGAATTATCTTGGTTCTTGAATTAGAACTCTGATTCTTATCATAAATGGATTTCATTATGGTGAATCTTCCTTGACTTATCAATCTATTAGATTGTGACGTCTCCAACTCTGATTCTTATCAACGATGATAATCTTTGTGGTGAATCTTCATTGACTTATCAATCTACTAGGTTGTCACGTCTTCATATCTGTCTTATTCTTTCTTTGATTTATTTTTGTTTTTTCCTCTTAAGGATTAAAATTCAGAATGATTGTTCTCTTTCCTAGATAATATCGTATCATATGGTACCAGAGCGTATCATCTATTATCCAAATTGTATCATTTGATATCTAAAGTAAGGTTCTGGTTTTTATTTTCTCTTATATCTTAATTTTTCTGTCATATAAAAAATCAAAAAAAATTTTTTTGAATATTTTGTGTTTTGTGCTTGTTTTGAAACTTTGTTAAGTTCATTATTTTTAGAATTTTGTAAGGATTAAAACCCGTAAGGTTTTATCCAATTCCGTTGAGTTTTTAACTTTTCTCGTGTTCTTTGTGTTTTTTGTTTAAATTGTGAAATTCTACATTTGATTCGTTTAAATTATCTATTTTTGTGTTTTTTTGTTAATTATAGTCCTAATTAATTGATTATTTTTATTTTCCATGAGTTTTGGTGTTTGAAGAGTAATCTATTTAGTTTTCTTTGTTTGTGTGTTGAACTGTAAAATTGAAAAGAAAAGAAAGAATAATGGATCCAAGTTAAAAGGAAGCAAATATATATTGAAAGAAAAGAAAAAGAAAAAGTAAGGATCCAAGAGAAAAAAAATTGAAGAATTCAACACAAATTTTTTTTGCATTTTTTTGTTTTTTATTTATGGTTTATTTATCTATTGAATTGCAATAAATCTTTTTCTTAGAGTACATGTGTTGTCTCATTTAAATTTTTTTGGTACTCCTATTATTTTCTAATTTTATAATTTTTATGTCTTTTAAAATGCCTCGAAGTTTTATCTAGAGTTTTGTATTTTCTTTTACCTTTTGAATCAAGATTTAGATCTCAACATTTTTTATATTGTTCGTTCACTCTTAGCTTAAGCTAATGAAGTTCTTTGCCAAGTGCTAATGAGAATTTGAGTGGTAAAATGTAAGATAGTATATTCATGAAAAAACCTATAAATATGGTACATGAGTGAAATTTGAGTGAAACACTTAAAAGTGTGGTGAGGTCCTAAATATATTTTTATTATTACTAACATTTTCTTATAGGACATGACTTCTTCACCGAATAGTTATCTTCCGTCACCTAAGACTACAACAATTATGATTTTACTTGATAAAATCAACTTACAAATGACTCAAATGTAATAACATACTTAACTATAATTTAAAAGACTTCAAAAGTCTCATGAAGATGTGAGTGTGAGATTGGACGAAATGGAGAGAATGAGAAGGAGACATGATGAGTTAGACCATTCTTCTTATAATGATGAAAAGAAGCATGGTTTTATACCAAGGCGAGGCCGAAGACCATAGGAGTTTGGGAACCACACATCTATAAGAGATACGATGTTAAGAAAGATTAAAATCCCTAAATTTATTAAAGCTAATGACTTGAAAGCCTACCTAGCATGGAAAATGAAGCTTGATCAAATCTTCAACTCTTATGATTATGATGATGATGATAAGGTTCTTACGACATCCTTGGAGTTTGAAGCTATGTTTTGAATTAGTTTTATCAAAACACTATGGACATAGCTAGGAGGAGAAGGCAATCAATTTCTTCCTGCGAATGATTGAAGTTAACTTTGAGGGAGAAATTTGTGCCTCCTTATTACAAAAATGAGATCTTCAACAAGCTATAAAAACTTACATAAGGAAATAAGAGTGTTGAAGATTATGTCCAAGATATGGAAGTCACATTGATGAAGGTGAGAGTGGAGGAAACACCTTTGGCTACAATGGCTAGATTTTTAATGGGTTAAATAAGGAGATTCAAATGTAGTGGAGATGCACCATTACAAAACTTTGGAAGATCTCATTCACCAAGCAACTAAGGTAGAACAACAACTCAAAAGAAGAAGTTCGTATAAAAAACTATCCACCTCACAGAAGGATAAGGAGAAATTTAAGAAGGAGAAATATACTTCTACAACTACCAAACTTAAGAAGAATGAGTCTTCAAGTGGTAAAATAACTTCTTAACCTACTACTTCTTCTCTTCACATTCAAGTTCTAAAAAATGTTTCAAATGTTTAAAAAACGGACATATATCATCTCAATGCCCTAACAAGAGAACTATGGTGTTCTTATATCCTATTTTAGTGAAAAGTTGAAAGAGCGGTGGGAAACTATTCCACTTATGACATGGAGTTATATGCCCTAGTGAGAGCTTTGCATACTTGAAAATATTATTTGCTTCTTAAGGAATTTATATGTCAAAGTGATAATAAATTTCTTAAATACATTAAAAGCCAAGACAAGCTCGATAAGAAACATGCTAAATAAGTAGAATTTATTGAACAATTTTCTTATGTTATTATTAAACACGAACAAGGCAAGACAATGTTGTAGTTTATGCCTTATTTATGAGACATGACTTACTGTCCATGATTGAAGCTAAAATGCTTGGTTTTGAAATATTTAAGGAATTATTATTATTATTATTATTATTATTATTGAATAAGAATTATTAAGGATTATGGTTTTTTACAAATAATGATGTTTTGCTTTGTGCGTGGATTTAATACATTTAGCAATTATTGAAGTAGTCGGTTGCTATTTATTCATTTTCTAGAAATTGTAAGTGTTAGTGTATCTTACATCATGATAATGTATTGAGAGTTCTTTTTAGTAGATAGGGAAGATTTGATTTTCTCAACTAAAAACACATTGAATCAGTTTTAGTTAGGGGAATCAATTCCTCTCAAAATTACACCTAAGAAGATCTCTCCAATGTAGAAGAATCCATTCCTTTCCATACCGTCCAAAACTATTTTCACTCAAGTCGTCCAAAACTATAGCAAAATCTATATATATATATATATATCTATATATATATATATATATATCTATATATATATATTACTTTCACTCAAGTCGTGAAAAGCTGGTGTCACACATTATGGTGAAGAAATCTTGCTAGTGAAACACATTTTTTCTTAAATTAAGTTGAAGTTGTGGTAAAATAACTTGACTTTAATATATAAGTTGAAATTATGAAAATTTTATACTATTTAATTAAAGTTAATGACCTGCAAAGGAAAGTCTTGAGAACATCACACAATTTTAGTAATTTAATTTTGATTATAATATTGAAGTCATAGTATAATAGTATAATGGCACACTGAAAAATAAAAAAGCTTTCTGTATACTTCCACTATTTTAATATTCCAAATTCTTATTTTTCTAACCTTTGCAGAAAATTTTCACAATGCATTTTTTTACGTAGCAGCGACTAATTTCCCGAAATATATCTAAAAGATTATATGACGGGAATTAATTTCAATTTTTAAAAGGGGTGCAAATAGCATCTTCCAACCGATAGATTAATTTGACCCAATACAGATTCAAATCCTTTGATTTGGTGTAGGTTCTATGAGCTTGATTGCGCAGCACACACAGCAATAAAGCTTGGATTCGGCAAAATTGAAACTTGATTCTTACCCTCATCAGGGGAAGTGCGTATTCATATTATTCCATTATAGTTTTTCGTGATCCTCAACTGGGTCGAACCAAACAAGTCCTCCGATGATTCTAATGAAAATTGTTTGATTTATTTATGCAGCTTCGATGTGGGTATTGATATGAGTTTGCCAAGGTTTGGACGTCCCAAGAATGGTGGTGAGTTGAGTGCGAACCTTTACGTGGCCAATTGTGGGCCCGCGGTGGGGATTTCTGATGATGACATTGCATCAGTGTTCTGCAAATTTGGAGAGCTTAAGGGAGTTTATGCAGCAGACGATAGTGGGACACGTGTCATTGTGGCCTATGCTGAAGAGGGCTCTGCACAAGCTGCCTTGAAGGCATTACATGGACGCCCATGTCCTCAACTTGGAGGTCGGTCCATGCATATCCGTTATTCCGTGCTTCAGCCAAATATACAGGTTCTACTACTAACACCATTCATTTCACTATAAATCGGTTCGTGTTTATATTTAGGGCTTTCTAATTATTACAGCTTTATTTGCATTATTTCATTTACATTCTATTTGATTGGAATAATAGAGTATGTTTGGACGAGATTTTCCATAAGGACTTGTAGGAGACAAAAATAAGAAGAAAAGGAGTGAAATTCATTTCTTCACAAGTTAAAATTAGATTATGCATAGACAAATTTGTAAGAGTTTTCTCTTATATTTACTTTACTTGTTTAAGGATATATAACGCATGCAATCCCTTCAATCGTAAAATTGTTGTGTAGAGTAAGTTTGCTACCTTTTGCAATGACTACTTGAAGAGTCATGCTCATAATGATTTTTATTGGTTGACGATTCATGCCACTCCTTATTTTATGTATTATTCATAAAGCTTAATTTTGATAAACTACTAGTGTGAAGGTTTTTAAACAGTCAATCAGTAAAAGAAACATCTTTGCTATGTTCTTTAAAGTAACTTCCATGTACAGGCTACACGCATAAGTTTCTTAAAATTGTTTTAAATTAACAAGGAAGGAGGAGGTTTGCATTTCTAACAAGCAATGGTGGTTTGTGGAATTTACATTCTTTATTCTAACACTTACGAGTTTACATATCTGTTCAGGATCAAGCTAGTGACTTGGTTCCTGTATCTATCTCTGCATCAGAAGTGAGCATTTCAGGCCTTTACCTAATTCATGACTTCATTAGTGCTAAAGAAGAAGAGGTTATGAACTTTTCATTCCGTATCAATGCAAATTGTTTAGCTTACCATGTTTGCATTTTTCTTGTATTGTTCTGTTTGAAATAATTTTTTACTTATGTTGGTGCTTCCTGTACAAATTTTGGTCTTTTCTATCTTCTCAGGAACTGCTTCAGGCTGTTGACTGCAGGCCCTGGAACAGTCTTGCAAAAAGAAGGGTTCAACACTACGGTTATGAGTTTCGCTATGATGTGAGTTTCAAGGATTATTTGGATTTCTCATTATCTGTTTTTGTTGTGCCTAAATTAGAGGGGTCCAACCTTTTTTTCCAGACAACTAAAAAATTACTTTATCAGATTGATGATCTTATTCCAAACCGCTTGGAAATGTGCTATATTTTAACAAATGGGCTGCTGAGTATTGTGAGAAGATTGATTAATCTATACTCTCTTTCCATTTCATTTGGCTTTGCAGACTAGGAACGTTAATACAAGGCATTGCTTAGGTGAACTTCCGTCATTTGTTTCTCCAATACTAGAAAGAATTTCATCATGTCCAAGTTTCAAGAATATTAAAAATATAGTTTTGGACCAACTTACGGTATTCATACTTACTAGTACTCCGTAATTGTTTAATCGGGTGATAAATTGATGCTATTATTAGTTCATTTATAAGGGAAAATGAGTTATTGCATATAGTCAATACTGTTTATGATGTTCTAAGTTAATTGTTGTTATGCACCACCAGGTAAATGAGTACCCACCTGGAGTGGGTCTGTCCCCTCATATAGACACTCACTCTGCATTTGAAGATTTAATTTTCAGCCTTTCATTATCAGGGCCCTGTATAATGGAGTTCAGACGGTATGAAAATGGTGATTGGCTTCCTAAAGTTGCCTCAAGTTCTATTGCAAAATCAGAAAATACAGAAGATCAATCAAATTTTAAAAGGAGAGCTATCTATCTTCCTCCTCGGTCTTTGCTACTCTTGTCTGGAGAAGCACGTTATGCCTGGCATCATTACATTCCACATCACAAGGTGTGATTATGCTGTGTACTTTTACATGCGGAAAGAAATTGTTACATTTCAAAATCCTGTTTACTATCATGGTCTGAAAGTGGTGTATTTGTGGTCATTTGAATGGAAAAATTATGAAAAATATATCTTAAAAGGCATGAGAGTCCAAAAGCAAAAAACCTTTTTTTTTTTGGCTCATTTAGCAAGCCAAAATTTTTCCTAAATTTTCAATATAAAATTAGTAAAAGATCCCATTTTCCAAGAGATCCTTTTTTGAAAATTTCTGTATTTAAGATATTAAGTTCATAATGTTTCTTTCGTTACTAGACAATCTGTATTTCCTTATTATGCTTTTCACACTGAGCACTTCAGATAAGCGTGCTGGATTTATAAAAGAGCATATTAAAGACCCAAAATGTTGAATTCTGATGGACTTACAACCTTTTACTCAATTGAGGTGCCTCCTAATAGTATCAGTCCCATAACTTTGCAGCTCTTTTCATGTGTTTCCTAGCAGGGCAACTTTATTATCCTAATTCCTGACAATTTTTGTTAGTATTAGCAGAAAACATGAAGATTGGTTTTTTACTTGAAGTGCATTCAGGTGTCTTGATAACATATTTTTCCAACTAAATATATTGTCTCCCCACAGATTGATAAAGTTAATGGCAATGTCATTAGAAGGGCTTCAAGAAGGGTATCTTTTACATTTCGTAAGGTAAGTTGATGGATGTCATTGTCTTTTTGGTTCGGATCTTCCTGTAAACACCATATTATTGTTTCTGATTCAGTATCTAGTACTTCAGCACAAGAATACAGAAATGTTGGTAATGCAATTATTTCAGTAGCTGTCATACCCTCATATGAAATCCTTTTTGATGTATGGACTTTTGATTTTGAAATGCACATTTCAGTATTTTTATTGTTATTTTCTTAGTAAATATGATCAGTTTGCATTGGCTATAATTTTCCAATGCAGTATTCCTATATTAATAAGCAGGTTTGGAAAATAAAACACTACAAGAAAATTCTTAAATAGCAACCGATTTTATAGATAAAAAATAATTAGTCACTATAGTGACTAACTTAGATACCAATTTATAAATTTGGAATCTAAAATAATTTCTATTATGAATAAAAAATTATAATTTTTTGGAAATTAAACTCTCAATGGTCTCTAACCTTAACTACCATGATTTTGTCTACTAAAATAATTAGTGTTTAAATTGGTCACTAATTATTTAGTGCATTTGACAGTGTAGAAATCTAATATGCATTTGCAGAAATCTAATATGCATTTGACAGTGCAGAAATCTAGCATTTCCTGCATACTTTTATACTACAACAATTAATAAGTAATTGTTTGTTGCAAGGTTTGTCTTTACTGTCTATATATATATTCTCATGTTAAAAACAAGTACTTGTGTGTACCAGGTTAGAGCAGGTTTATGCAAATGTGATTTTCCGCAGTATTGCGATTCTCAAAGATAAGGTTTAACTGAGGCGGCAGTGAGAATGAGTAATTGAGAGTTGGACTGGTATAACCTGAGGTGTGTTCTGCATCTGTTTGCTTGTTCTTGATATTATAATACTCACGACATGCAAGATGTTTCTTTGATTAGGAATATTTAAATAGGTCACTACCAGCCTTAACCCCAACATTTCTATGTCTACACCATCGTCACATTAGATTTTTTTCTCATCTGATTCGTTTGATGAAATGTATAATTCTTATAACTACTCACTTGTGCATTTTCTTTTTTTTTGAACGTGTCATAATGCTCCAGATATTCCACACAAGAGTATTCCAATAATTTTTCAGTGGTAACCAAATGGGCTTCCCTGGCATAACATTTCTGTCAAGGGTCGGATTCATATAACTCATTTTCAATTTTGTTTTGATTACATTATTTTGCGAGCACTTGGTGTTTAACGTTCAGATGGAGAGCATTATGCTGACCAAATCTTTTAAATCACTCAGTTTTAAACCAGTATATATTTATGTAAATGGAAGTCTGGGTGAATCCATACAACCAAAAACAACAGCACATGAATGGAAACGTGGTCGTTTTATGATGAATCTTAACTGCACTAACCCAATGCTATGTATACATTCATCGCATTAAACATTCATTCAGTTCGGTAGCTGAATGGATTCCGAACCCCCTAAATACTTTGGAATAATAATATAAGGTCCAAACCAACAATAGATAGACTAAAATGCTTTTTATTATCGCTAGCAAACATTGCCATCCATAATCACATTTTATAATTGGCTATTTTAATCGGTTAGAAAGATTAGATGTTGGAATGCCTTAAATAGGCGTTGCTTGAGGACTAGGCCACTTCTTGTAGGCAACGATTCTACGAATATTATTATATGTAGATGACATTGTTACAAATGGCATTGCGATGATCATTTACCCCCACGAAATGACCTACAGTTAAAACTTTACAATTTGCAGCCATTACAGATCCGTCATCTCACCTGCAAGAATAGCTAGCTTTAATAAACATTAGATGGAAAATATTTGCTGAACAAGAACTTGATAACAGATTTTGCAATTACGAAGCCGGCTTGAAAACGTTTAGTAGTAAAGAAACTTAATCAATGCTTTAGGCATAATTTATATCAAATTTGAAAGGTTTAAATATAATTTTAATCGGTTTTGATAATGGTGCTTAAAAAGATCAAAATTCCCTGTATTACAGGTATCACATTCAAAGTTTAGATGGACTAAAAACATATTTAACTGAACTTAAATTCTATCAGACTATACACGATACCCTGAGATTGAGAAATGGTGGATATTGCGGGACGTAAAGGGAGAGAAAACATTGATTGAGACAATGATTTTGAAAAATATCGTGCTTTGTGCAAAGAACGTGACAAGAATAATTCTCACATAAAACAGAGTAAATTCCAGGGGTCCTTACCATGCATGCATTTAACGAAGAAATCCAAATCGGACAAGCAAACATTAGCCTGCAGCAAAGATGGTTGCTGGTAAACAAAGAATGAAAAATGTCGATGATCAGGATCATTTCTCGGCTTTGCGGTGTCAACCAATCTCTTGTACCCTTCTCTATCGTAGCAGAGGAGTGCATTCTCTCCACCAGCCATCAACCCACGATCCCAAGCTGAGTTTAACACCTGTGTAAACATAAAACAAACAATGATCATTCATAACAAAGATAACATACTTGGGACTAATCGTCCATGTTGACCAAAATATGTTCTGCAAAGTACCTAATTAAGCAACATTCTTTAGAACATAGAAAGCATTACCTGCCAACTCAGACCCTCAGGATCAATCAATGATTCGTTAGCTTCCTGGCTGGAAAGATGAAACCCTAAGCAGACGAATTTCATGGTGACAGCATGTTTTCTTAAAACCTCAAACACAGGAAAGTACCCATCCTGATTTGTTGGGTTGTGATATCCTGCTGTCAACTCTGCCGCATGACTAGGAGTCTTGTACCACCAGTATACAGCAGGAACCTACATGAAATCATTGTCACTTAGTTTCAGTTTATATACTTGTACTTTCTACGGCAGGATATGACTTTTAAAGGAGATACGATGACTATGCTTCCTAAGGTTAAATATATGAGACAAACATCTTAAGAAAAATACGGAAGAGAAAAATTAAAATTTGGTTTTTCCTTATACAAGTCAACTATAGTCAACTATAGAAACGATAGTATACTAACAAAATATCATCATGATCCATTTGGGTCTGCTGCAGAACGATTCCTGAAATATGCTATCACATTTGATATGTGGATATAAATTCCTTAGCTATTGTTCGTTTTTCAAATCTGTGTCCAAATGTTAATTCTAAAATTGAGTTTCCTTTCAGATATTGATATCATCTTATTTACCAGTTTTGCTCACAAGTCTTCACTCTATTCCCTTTGGCTTTTACTATATCCATTTCTTAACCAAAGCTTTTATTTATGCACTCAAATTCTATTTTACACAAGTAAGGAGTTATATACCATTAACATTTATTCCATGAAAAGTTTTTCTCTTAAATGTAAAACGTGTAGTAAATGGAACCCAAATTTGAAAAGGGATACCAAACTGAATCTAAATCCCTGATAATGCAGCCAATAACAAACATCATCCAAATTTAGTCATACGACCTAGACAAAACTACTGGAGAAAAAGAAACTGATACCGGGAACACTACCTTGACAATTATTTTTGTCTCCTCGAAAGCAAGGGTTGCAAGAGACAAAACATTATCTGCATGGTCTATTAATGTCTGGGAGTACCAATGTAAGAAGAATCGTCCATAGTAATTGTCATAATCACCTCGCTCACAAAAGAATCCAGTTTCATGCGGCATAGAATTGTAATGTCCAGCATTATCAGGTCCTCTAGCCCAGAAAGAATGACCACGTAATTTGGCTGCTCTCCGCAGACTATGTTGCAGGTATTTATCATAGCACTGCCCATAGAAGATGAGACAGCAAACAGGACTACTTTAAAATATGATAGCACGCACACTATTTATGGTACAGAATAATTCAACAATTTTGCAATTAAGCCACAATATGAGGTACCTGAAACTCACCGATACCAGGATACCTCCATCCCATTCTTTCTGAGAAAGAAGGATATTTCAGCTCTCCGGATGCTCCAAGTCCAACTTCAACAGCAGAAATCAGACCTTCTGCAAACAGGTCATCAAACTCTGTCCGAAAGCTTCTCATCATATCGAAATAGACCTGCATATTTTCAGAAAAGGATAATCACTAACAAACATGAGAAATGAAAACACTAGTAGATTTCAATTGAAGAATACTTCAAAGAATATAATCTATGACCACAAAGAATTCTGCACATGCTAGAAAGAACTGCCCTTTTATTTTTTAATAAGGTGAAATGTACAACAATACCGGAAATTAGTATGTAAATGTAACTAACAGACATTTAACAATAACCGTGAATGTCAAATCTTTGAATCTAGCAGTAGGGCTAAAAATTTTCATACCTCAATTCCAGTTCTTCCTTTGAGAACTCGTTCTTTGTCAATCCCCCAAGAAAGGCATTCAGTATTTCTCCGTCCTTCACGATCTGTGAAGAATATATCCTGGTTGTCTTTTCCAATATCCAAAACCCATTGTGGGAGGGAAATCAATGCATCACTAGAATCATTCCCTCCACATTCATGAAATGCCATAACAACCTTCAGAATTTTAAACAAGAATGAAAAGAGGTTCTCCAACAACTTCAAAGACGGTTCCCAATTCCCATGACAAAAATACACATCCAATCATAGAAACCTCTAAAGACATTCTAAGTGGTGTTTCAAATATTATGCTTCTAGAGCATGGTTTTATTAATTACACTGAAGAAACATTTCTTCAAGGAATAGTATTAATGAATTCATCCACTAGCTATTATGTTTAAATTTCCATATAAAAAATAGATGTCATAGGTAGTAGACAACATCCGTTCATCCTGAAATTATCTCTTCAATATTATGTCATTCCTGTTTTTTACTAGTTTCAAGTGTTAAATATAGGCAGGAAATCTATCAAAAGCATGGCGGCTGAATTGGGATAGAAATTATGGATCCGAAGGCTCATTTTCAGAATCATGAATAGCAAGATTCAAAATCATAATAAAGATAAATCTAAAAGCAACATAATAAAAAAAAATACACACATATAACAGCATCGTGAAATTAAATAGCTATGAAAGAAACATATAAGTTTGAAAATAATTTTTATTTCAGTTTCCAAATGTCATGAGTAGAAAATATCTATTTAAATACGAAATAAAACTTGATAGTAATGAACCTAGATCTTTTGTTTTTTATTCTCTATATTGTGATTAAAAGATATTAGAAAGTTCTATACGAATACATGGCCCAGTGGATAACTTGCGGCCCAAAGTCAAAAATTGTATGTTGCAGTGTTTGTCTTGGAACTAAAATATAAAAGTTCCTCAATTAAAAAATAAAACTCAGTACCCTGTCATTTAACTTTAAGGTTGAGGGTCATCTCCCTTCTTGACCCACCAGCAACAAGTGCAGCTTAAGTGGAACAGAGGCCGTACATATGCAGGGGACAAAATTTGTTTGCAAATTGCACAATTCATATGCAAGTCAAACCCAAAATTAGTACAACTCACACTTATATTGCACTAGTTGTATCATGAATTGTGTGATACTACTAACCATGATCAAAAGTCCAAACGAGAAAATGTATTCCAAGAAAATAAATAACTTAGATTCCAATGAATATCAATGCATTATGTATGGATAGGATTATATGAGCAAGTGAAATAATACCTGTAACTTAAGTTTGAATTTTCTAACGATGTTAAAAAGCTCCCTATAGCCAGACCACACATATTTCTGCGGGCTCCAGCCTTCAACAATGCCCCACCAACAATCCACAACAACACCATCTACATTTAAAGACTTCATATGCATTAGCTCCTGCTTAATGCCTTCAGGATCAATCAACTGGCAAAATTTGTTAATAATACCAGCCTGCAATAAAAGACTAATTTTTAAACCTTATAATCAAATACAAGGAAAACAAAGTACTAAATAGGATAAACAAATGATAGTCGTACATTTACAATTTGTTGTCCAGAGTGAAGAAATTAAACATGATCAAAGCTAGTTATTCAGCAAGCAGCAAATGAAGGACACTTACCGGAAGCTTTACATAAACAGGAACATATGGTGTGCCAGTAAAATCATTTTCGTGCACCCCAGAATGAATATCTTGCATAAGCTGCATTAAAAAATTACACTATCAGCTGGTCCTGGATCACATCTGCTCATACATAAGGCTCAATATTATGGTTATGCATAAGTTAAAATCACTTAATATAGAAAATAATTTAGTTTCATTCTAAAAACTACATGGCATACCAAGAACCAAAACAAAGCCATTGAGGAAGTCATATTTACAAAATTAGTATCAGTTCCGCAAATTCAGGTGTAATATTTATTTTCTATATTGTTCTATATCAGTATTGTCATTGTGAAGTTTTTGCTTATAAAGATTTATAGTGAATTTTACTTATCCTGAAACTCAGGTTGTCCCCAACGGTTGTGAGCTTCACATACCATCATATTAA